TAGTGTATTTTGGATAATGACATACCATTATCATCAACATGACGCATTAAAAATTATTTTATTAATTTTTTAAGTTTTATATGAACAGTTTAGGTGGAAGGCGAGGAAGGCATCCTATTTTCGCGGGAGGAGTGTTGACCCCCCAAAACAATGTTCTCTTTCAAACCTTTCTATCAATCAATCCGATCTCAGGAAAGTTGCTTTTGCTAATAATCATTGAGCATTTTTCCCGTCTTCTCTCGAAAAATAAGGTTGTAGGAATTATCATAATACTTCCTTCGTCACATTTAAATATGCTTGTTTTGTTTTTCACACAGATTAAGAAATCTTATTTAAGGGGTGTTTCAGAGTCATTTTTATGTAAAAATGCATTTTAGAATAGTAACTTGATGGGAAGTGTTTGGTTGAAAAATAAGGAAAATTTTTTGATTTACGTGTAATATTTTTTAATAAAGAATATGTGGTTGAAAAGAAAAGAGAGAAAAATACATTTAAAAAAAAAGGGTACCTTAATGTTATTGAAAAAACAATTTTTGTCAAAAATTTTCCTCATTTACCCTTATTTATATTTGTACAATTTCAAGATTAAATGAAAAAAATTAATCATTAGTAGGCAAATTAAATAAAAATATACTAGTAAACGAACAAAACAAAATATTTTCAATAAAAAAATATGACTATATAATTGAGATAAGAAAATAAAAAATATCAGATATTGACCACAATCGAAAGGTTTATATGATATTTAATGATAGCTTCGCTGAAATTGAGATCCTTCCAGTGTTTTGCAGATATTCTGCATTTTTTTTACTGTAGACAGAACATACACCATGGAATATTTTGTACATATTACCTGCATGCACTAATTGACCACAGATTTTTCAACTGACTGGTCGACATGTGGAAATCCTTATGCTCTACAAATTCAAATCTGGCGGTATTTTAAGAATTAACATGCCATTAAATCCAATATTCCTAGTTACATACTCCAATGAATTATTTTTATTCTTTTTTTAAAGAATAATTACGCATAGACAACTGTTCATCACCATATCACAGGTTTTTATCCAAAGAACGAGACGAATATCAGATCACTTATTTATCATCACGTGAGTACAGAAAGAAACATTAAATATTTGTAATAATTGAATAAGCAAGCTGTCTTTAACCCTATATTAATTAGTTTGACTTCAAATGTATAAGAAGATGAATATATACTATTTTTAAACCTAATTTAATTTTATACAGATATTCCATGCTGATGGATTAGAAGGAGAGAAAATACAGACCGTTGATCCAGTTTCTCTGGGGTTGAAAATGGTAGGCAGTTCTATGCACTTGCTTTACATTGACACGAGAAACAGATTGTAAGTGTAAATACTCCTTGTGCGATGCTTCAACGACGCCATTGTTGAATGCCAAGAAACAAAACAAGTAAACAGCAAAAACCCACAAAAACTTATAATCTGGCATAATTAAAAAAACAGTTGAACTCAAAAGTTTTGTTAAGTTATGAAGAGAGACTCTCTCTCTGTGTGAAGAATGGTGTAGATCTCGTAGAGAATGAACGAAGGTGGGCTATTTATAGAGGAACGGGTCAACCAGTAATCGAATAGAATTGGATAAGGATTGGATTAACTGCGGTTGTTTTGTTTTTTCATCTGTTTACTAGTTTTCTTATCTTTGGAGTGAGAGATAGACGGTGGGAACGTATAAATCAAATCTAATAATATATTTATCAAATCTAATAATACACTTACAAAATTTAAGAATAAGTTAGAATTTTAATAAAGTCAAAAGAAATAAAATTGTGTACAACAAGGATTTCTGCTGGAAAATATACTATGTATATTGTCACACATAAATTTTTGCCTTTTCGGTTAATGATTTTACGCAGTCGATCGTGCCTAAATATATCGGACGGGAATTTTAGAACAAGAATTTCTCATAAAAACTATGTTAACATTCAAGTTTTATTCTTTTTTGTCAACAATTATATGTAGTCGATCATGTTAAATGTGTCGAAAAGGAAAATTCTAGGACAAAAAATTCTGATAAAAACTGCATTAACTTTTCAAGTATTATTATTATTATTATTATTATTATTATTATTATTATTATTATTATTATTATTATTATTATTATTATTATTATTATTTTCAAGATAATTTTAGTCCATATTAAATTTTGGTGGAATATAGATTTTGATATTTTGACTTGAATATTTTTATGGAGATCCGTGTATCAATTTTCCCGAGTTAAGTTTGACGAGTTAGAAGATAATTACGTGATTAATTTTTTTTTCTCATTTACCTAAGATATTGATATGCTCAATTGATGTTTAAAGCCCACAATTCTACCACATTAATTCTCTATAGTCAATGAGAATATAATTAATAATTAAATAATTACCCTATATTGTCAAGCTCGTGACCTGATTTGTATATCATAGACCGTGGCTTTATTTGTATTACCTATCAAAATTTAAGGTAAATCATGGAAAGCTGCGAAAAAAAATTAATGAATTTCGTATTATAGTTAGTCGAAAAAGGTAATTTAATTTAAATATAAACTCACGAGACATTTCAAGTCTCTATAGTTGTTTCATTTATGGTATATTTGTTAGGTGAAAATTTTCCTTAGAACATGGAAAATCAATTTCAACTTCCACTTTGCATCGTTTGATAGCATTCCCCCTCCCCCTAGTATTCCATTTCCAAGTTTCTTGCCACATAAGCCATTTTCTAGGTCTTTCTTGAATTGGAATATGGTGAGAATTCCAATTCTAGTCACTGTAGCATTTTTTTTTTAATTTTTTGGTTGGCAATGGAAACAAATTCTAAGAATTATTGTTAAAAAATATTTTCATTTAATTGACAATTTTCATGTAAAATAAAGTCAAACGAATACCAAAAGAGAGATGAGTTTATTTTATTTTATTTTTTTTTTTTTTTGGTAATGGAATCAAATTTCATCCACAATACCAATAATTAATCCAAGGCGACTTCTTTGAATTTCAACGGATTTTAATTAAGATTCCTATCCTATCAATTTTAATAATGAATAATTAAATTAATTACTTTTCTTATCCCAACTTGCTGTAAGTCTGATACATTAAATTAAAATTTGTTTAAATATTTTTCTACTAATTTAATAGAGTATTATTTTATTTTTCACTTTGAAATAACTATAGGAAATACACTCACTCAGAAAAATATTTGATAATATTTATATATATTACATATTGTTATAAAAGAAGAAATATTTTTCTAGAATATTTATAAATGATGGTAACATTACAAAATGACACGATTACCATCAATAATCATTTTTGTAATTGTACATCGATACAACAATAAATCATTTTTGTTTACCTACTATGAAATGATGATTTTGAAACATACAATAATTCTGAAACAAAAGCATATCAAATACTTAATTCTTCATGTACCTCATTATTTTTCCAGCACAACAATGAATGCTTCTCTTAAAAGCACATTAGCACCAAAACCAGTCAGGATTATATTAAGTACTGATGATATGACACATCAATTAATTGGTGAATTAGTATCGGTGACAGGATTATATAAGATAGACTATATTAATCCTCATTAGTACAACTGGATTTTACTTAGATATTATTTGACAACTTTATCACTAACTATGAGATTTATTATTTACTAGATTAGAATTAATATTTTACTCAATTTAGTGATGATTACAATTTAATTTTGTGCATACCTGAATTGGAATGATTTTTTGGATTTCTTTATTTAATATGTTACCTTCCAGAAATGTATAAAACATGTGCATAATTTTTATAAATTGTTTAAACACATACAATAAAAAGAATCATTAGTTAAATATAATCTTTTTCCTACAAAATAGTCATTTGTAGAAAGTGGGAAAGCATCATGGTAGTAGATATTCAAACCAAACAATGATGATAATTGCTATTGTCAACTACGATTCTTGTCATCAAACTTTGTAGAATAATGTTATTTATCTATAATGGATCATCGTCAATTTATATGATAGTGAAGTCATTGCCACACTCTAAATTAATTAAAATATATTTTAACTCCATTGAATAATGTGACATTGAACTCATTGTCACATACGCTGAGTTGAACTCATTAACGATAAGTAGCACCACTCTATTCAATATTCACTCAAATAAATTCCCATTCCAATTGAAATCCAAAATAGAAAACTATGTAGAAAGAAATTAGGAGATCAGTATTCTTGTATCGACATCAAATTGGTATGTCACAGTCATCCTTCACTGGATTTCCACTTGGTGTCAATTACTCAATTCTGTGGATGTAAATTGTATGATTTGGATTTTTTAAGTTTTCATAGCATTTCCAACAATAAAATGCAAGTGAATTGTATGAATTGACTTCTTAAATATGAAAGTGCAAATGCAAATGCAAGAGTTTCGTAAAGAAAAAGTGTCCTTATCTCTTTTCCTAATGCGCATCCCATGTAATTACGTTCATAAAAATGTGAACTTATCTTATTAGGTTGTAGAACCTAATTATTGAAAGTGTGCAGAGTCGTCATTAGAATTTTGGATTATCATTAAAAAGTGGGAGAGATGTTAGAAAATATAGGGCGTGTGATTTTTCTTTTAAACTTCTTCTCAACATAATACATTACTGCAACAATAGAAAGAAAACATAGTTTCATTGCTCTAATTCTCAATACATCTTTCTATTGGAATCTATAGTTTCACGATAAGGACTCTAATACATGATATTGAGTTGAACTTTTATTAACTCTTATCTTCTAATTGTAAGAACCCTTAAAGGGTCGACCTTAGATCAAGTGTAACTATGATTTATTTCATATAAATTACTCTATATATGGGGTAAGTGAAAAGTAAAATTGGCCGATTTCAACGTGGTCCAAACTATAGGATCAAGACAAGTAGACTTTTGGCACTCCCACAAACTATAACGTGTACAATTTGTGTATTTGGATTGACTAGTGGAAAATTGAAAGTTTTGTCACGAAGAATAAAAGTAAGGCGCCCCCACATAATCTTCCACATTTATTACAATCTTGGAAAAGTGGAAGCATACTAATGAACAAACTCAGTCAAAAGCCCTTTTCAATTTCTTCACACAATCATTTCCAGAAAAAAAAGGGGGATTTTAAATTATTAAACAATATTTTAATAACGGGGCAACGTTTTTTTTATTTATTTTTTTGGGTCTCATAAGATTCATCTGGTAAAAAAGAGAACGTATTCTTCTATCAATTTGTAGCACCGACACCATGACCAATAATTCATTGTATCCAAGTTATCAAAAGTCTAAATTTACTTTTCCTCTTAATACTTTTCACTATCCCGTGGATTATTTTCCATTTTTTCATTGAAATCAATAGCATATCATCCAACACCACTTAAATTGAAATTGTAATTCCAGTGGAGCTGCGTAGCATTATTCTGGGTACAATACTTTCCAGACAGTACTCTGCCGAGCATAAATGAAAATTTCTTGGAAACAGGAAAAGAAAGCCGAAAGACAACGTAGAATATTGCATATTCATGACTCGGATGTTCCTATTTAGTTGAAGCAATGATTTTCTACGTCATAATGAGTTAGAACGGGCATACCATAACGGCCATTTAAAATAGTAGTTACAATCAATTTTTTGGCCAACTTTTCCATATCTATTCTTTGATACAAGACTCTTGATTTGTATTCCCGTTTTAAAGCCTGTTTGGGAGTGATTTTTTCCTTCAAAAAATTGAATTTTTGACTGTTATTTCACTATTCCAGTAGTCATATTTGACTTCTTCTCTTACAGGTGGACCCCATTCTTCTCCTAACAATCAAAAAATCAATTCTCAAAATCACTTCCAAATAGGCTCTTAATTTAATTTCCAAGTTATCTCCTATAGTAGACAACAATAATAATTGAAATGTATTATTGATTTTACCGATGCTGGAAAGTGACCTGGCACGTTTCAGCTCAATAGAAATTATAAGAAAGAAAATAATTTTTTATTGAATCTGTCGTAAGTTCGAAATAGACTTCTATAATAAAATTCATATATCATTTAAGGAAAATGAACCCACCTTCATAGGCAAGCATAAGAAGATGAATTGTCCTGCTCATGTTAATCTAAAATACTTCGTTCTTAGGCAAAGTGCGATGCTTGCTCCAACGAATTGTAATGGGTGGAAGAGGGCGCCTACGCTGACATAACGATGGCTTATGGTCTAAGCGACAATAACAAACACGGTGACATGACACATCAATTCATTGATAGTTGTGCAAACTATTAATAAATTAATTTGATATTGTGCAAATAAAAATAATGACTAGAAAATTGGTGGTCCAGTTTTTCCCATAGCTAAGCTTTGTAGACAAAGATCAAGTCGCATGTGAGTGAAAGTGCCATTTACACGCCACTTCTTTTGGATGTTGGTGATGACGATGGTTATGGTTGACAATCGCGTTTATAATGGAAAGTGGGAAACAAAGGAGATGAGAGGGGCGGAGTCAAAGTGATGTAATCAATAATGACTTTTCAGTTAGTAAA